ATGATGTTGTTGTTGCTACTGTTGTTGTTGCTGCTGCTGCGGCTGCTGTTACTGCTACTTCTGCTGTTGGTTTATTTCAGTTGTTTCTCTCCTGTGTGAGTTCTATGTGTGTCCGTGCGCATGTCGGCAAGTTAAACCACGTCAACATATCTGTCCGCAAGTCTCCCTGCGACCGTCAGACTTCCCTTAAAGTTAAGGGAGAGGTCTGAAAGAAAGACTTGTCATATCTTTCTCTATTTTGTTCTCATGTGTATTCTTCTTACCAGGTGATGAATACATCTAGGAGGGATGAATTCAACGTCAGACAATGCATTACGATGCAGAGGTCTGAGAACCGATCCTAGATGGTCAGGTTCTATTAGTGCTGCCGCTGCTGCTGCTGTTGTTGTTGCTGCTCTTGCGGCTGCTGTTACTGCTGCTTCTGCTGTTGGTTTATTTCAGTTGTTTCTCTCCTGTGTGAGTTCTATGTGTCCGTGCGTGCGCATGTCGGCAAGTTACACCACGTCAACATATCTGTCCGCAAGTCTCCCTGCGACCGTCAGACTTCCCTTAAAGTTAAGGGAGAGGTCTGAAAGAAAGACTTCTCAGATCTTTCTCTATTTCTCTCTCTTTTGTTCTCTCTCTTGCTGATGAAAACATCTAGGAGGGATGAATTCAACGTCAGACGATGCATTACGATGCAGAGGTCTGTAAACCTATCCTAGATGGTCAGGTTCTATTACTGATGACGTTGATGATGTTGTTGTTGCTACTGTTGTTGTTGCTGCTGCTGCTGTTGTTGTTGCTGCTGCTGCTGCGGCTGCTGTTACTGCTGCTTCTGCTGCTGGTTTATTTCAGTTGTTTCTCTCCTGTGTGAGGTCTATGTGTGTCCGTGCGTGTGCATGTCGGCAAGTTACACCACGTCAACATATCTGTCCGCAAGTCTCCCTGCGACCGTCAGACTTCCCTTAAAGTTAAGGGAGAGGTCTGAAAGAAAGACTTATCAGATCTTTCTCTATTTCTCTCTCTTTTATTCTCTCTCTTGCTGATGAAAACATCTAGGAGGGATGAATTCAACGTCAGACAATGCATTACGATGCAGAGGTCTGAGAACCGATCCTAGATGGTCAGGTTCTATTGCTGCTACTGCCGTTACATCTACTGCTGATGTTACTGCTGCTGCTGTTGTTGTCATTCTGATGTCTAAAGTAAGAAGTTTCCATGACGTGCATTTATATGGTTTCTCTCATGTGTTACTCTTCATGCAACACTCAACAAGCCAGCAGATGTCAGACGTGCCACTAGCCATGGCAGAGGTCTGAACTCTATG